TCTTGCTGGAGCCTGAGTTCTACGCGTGATTTTATTCCGTTCAAAACTGTTCCATTTCAAACTGCGCATGCACACACACTGTGGTTTCTCGAAATGCATACTAATTAGGTAACTTGTCACTGATAAAAGTCACCGAAAACATTTTGAGCAATTTTGAGCAATAGTACTCGAGTGAAATTTAAACGTGCCTCTGCATTCTCCATGAATTTCGTAACTTGCTATGCTCATGGTAAAGAGAAAACCTGTGCTTACTTTCAACAGTTAGCTGGAGTCTGATCGAAAACGTGTCTCAAAAAATACCTTTACATCATTTTTCCGATTATTTTTTCAGCTCGTAACGATAGAATCAGTCAATTTAGAACTAACATGTATGCTATCGGAAAGCATTTTGGCACAATTTTACTGAAAAGACTAGTTTTTCGTTGCTCATGAATATTAATTATGCAAATGAGATGATTATTTCAACCAATCCTGTCATGCAACTCCCCCCTCCCCTGACATGATCCTTGGTCTGTAGTTATCTCAGAGTATGTCAACGCCCCATATGTTGATAAGATATTTACGTGAAAGAATCCGGAATCCAATTGTTAGGTTAACGAACTGAACGTTTGTGAGTAGCTGTCAGTTTACGTCTAGTTTCAGTGCACTTCGATCTTCCCATTCTTAACAGCATTGAATAATGTGTTCAAACATGTGTAATATCATGAAGACTCAGTTGTTGTCATGACAGTAACAACGCTTAATTGTTAGATAAAAGCCTGACATTTTCAACGTTCGCCATAGTCGACGAAAGCACAATGGCTCGCGCCGGCTGTATAATATGGTTTAGGCTAACTGGACACATGGAGCCGGGAACAGCCACTGGTGGCGCTGTATAAAATCGAAACCTATTGCGGCTTGCCGGGCCGTAGCTCATTCCTCAGCTCCTGAGAGCGAGGTTATTTGTAGATATGTTGGCGATCACCGCTGTGTCTGCGGAAGTACTATGGGAGATTGCATGATGGGAGTGAAAAGTCTTTTGATCAGTAAAATAATTTTAGAAAAATGAAAACTAAAGTGACTGTGAAATAAAGGTTGGTTTTAAATATTAAATATCATGACATTTTGATGTAATAATAAAAGGAAATTGAACTGATATGAAAGGGCAGTACATGTAGCCAGAATCCGGGGTCAAAATACGTCACAATACATCCATCTAGGCAGTTGCAAAGTGTCAACAACTATGGATGAGGTGAAAGACTTCGTTTGCAGTTTGCGTGAATGGCCGGGGAGAAAAATTCATGCAAATTCTGTGCTTCAGTAACAGTATTTGCTTCTTTGTTTTGTGCAATGGAAATTGATACAAGAAATGCTGCCAATAAACATGTCCTTCCAGTACACAAAACAACCCTGGGACGTTTATCAAGGTTACGTTTATCTTGAGAAATTGAGAAGACGGAAATCCCTTGGGACAGTCGTCGTGTAACAGTAGTCATGCGTCGCCTAGGGTATCAAGTTTATTTTGATTATTTGAAGATGGAAACTGCTGCTTTATGGAAGAGCAAAGTTCAATGTCATTGGCACAGTAATGACGTTTTTAGAGGGGTGACTCGCTAGAAGTATTCGCCGTGACTCCAGACTTCTCATTTGGGTTTATACAACACTTACTTGTTACTATCAAGAAGGTTTAATATCTTGTTTGTATTTGCACAATGTGAATGAGGGGTTTATTGTCAAAATATATACAGGTGCTTGTATGCCTATTGAAAATATACAAAACTGTCATCAAACTGTACGTTTTGACGACTACTATGCACTTCTGGGACTTGTAATAATTTTCTGGAAACTGCATAGCAAATCACATATTTTCCTTATTAATTGTTCATAGTTTTTATTTTCAGTTTTTATTGTTATTCATAATTACTTACAGTAATAACATATTTTTCCGATTGTGTGCATAACAGCTTTGCCCATATACAATAAGACAGGATGATATGTACGGATATGTGTGAGTATGTTTCATGGATTAATATGTCACTCCTTTGCTTCAATTTCATCTACATCTCTGGAAATATCACTTGCTGTTTATCATCCATATTTTGATATCTCACAATGTGTCGATTGCGTATCTGGAAATTCTAACTACTGTTTCGCAAAATTTGACCAGCCTTGCTTTTACCAGTCATTTAAGTCAACTCCCATATTGTCCTTCACAGTGAAGGTTAATGCAGATATATTGTAAATTACACATTTCTTTTCACATTCCCCTGTATTACATAACAATCTTTGAGCTGAGGCAGTTATGGTTCAACAACCATCACCAGTTCTCTTGTTTAGATTGTATTGTAAAAGGAAAACGCAGTTGTTAAATTTGGTGATCAGTTTAGTATGATAGAAAGCGTTTACAGTCTTCAAATTACCACAATAGACAGGGGGTGAAGACCGAATATACGTGATTCCGGCGTTTCATACTAAATGCTTTCTATTAATGATTTCACTTTCAAGTAATATTCACAAAATATGTCTACGTCATATTCCTGTTGAAAGTTATTAGCATATTGTGTACGCAGTGCGCGTGCTTCGGGCTCTTTTCCCTAATCCACAACGCATGCGTCATCACAGTGAGGTCAATTGAAATGTACGTTATATGCATCGTCACGTTCAGCGCCGTCAATGTGTTTCACCACATTGATGGTGCTGAACGTTGTCTTTGTAGGCGACGCTACCAGATATATACAGCAGCTAACAAGCCAGAGACTACTGAGAATTTGTACACACTCCCACCGTGTCATACACTGTAATATGCAATGACAATCCTCCTAACTCTGGATAAAACTTTGGTTAGAATTATATCTACAACCAGTTCAATGCACATATCTGTATCTGTCCTGTTTCAACACCCCTGAATCGATGACAACACAAGGAAACATGATACAAGACAATGCAATGCGACACGACACGATACAATAACGCAACAAAGCGGGTCATGACGGGACACGCAACGCGTCGTAACGTGACAACACAATGCAACACAACTCAGCATTACACGACACAAGGCAACGTAATACAACACAGCACAACGCGATAACACAACGCCACGCGACACGACAAGACACAACACAACAACGCAACGAAGCGGGACATGACGGACACGCAACGCATCGTAACGTGATACAACACAACGCATACGATACAACGTAACGTGATACAACACAACACGATAACACAACGCCACGCGACACGACAAGACACAACACAGCAATGCAACGAAGCGGGACATGACGGACACGCAACGCAACGCAACGAATCGCAGCGTGATAACACAATACACCATAACGCATCATTATACGACACAACTCAACGTGATACAACACAGCACAATAACACAGCGCTACGCGACACGACAAGACTCAACACAGCAGTGCAACGAAGTGGGACATGACGGACACGCTACGCAACGCAACGCGTTGTAACGTGATACAACATAACGCAACATTATACGACACAACGCAACGTGATACAACACAATAACACAACGCCACGTGACACGACAAGACACAACACAGCGACTCGAAGCGACACGAAACACAACACATCACAGCATGACAACAGGATGCGACAGAACACGACACGACACAATGCAACGCAACGCAACACAACACGACACAACTCAACACAACACAACACAGCGCAGTAACACATATTAACGCAACACATCGTAACATGACAACAACATACAACGCCATACAATATGACATCGTGCAACGCAACACCATACAACTCAATTCAACTCAACGTAACACTACACGACACCGGGTTTATACTACCACTCAGTCATGTTATTTTTTGGGATACAGAGGTCATTCACGATGTATAATCAAGGATTAAACTCAATAAAAAGTCTACAGTTGTAATCCGATAAGATAAGCACATGGGAAAAAAGTCTAGTTTAATTACGGAGATTTGAAAGAATGAATCAAGTATATATTTTCAAAATTTAACACAAGTTATTCCAACTTCCTGTAATTTTACGATGGTCCTTGTCCTGTTTATTTTAGTTATGAACCTAGCGAGGCTTCCTCTGTCAAAACAAACACTCACGAGTAGGGGACGTGGCCTAAACGCGAAGTAGTCGTCTTTCCCTTCGGGTACATGCATTCTGTCTGGCGAGCAATCTAAAAGTGATTGAAATTGTATGAGTGTGGGAATCGATGAACAACTTGAAATACTGACGTGAAAGGCACCAAGGCACCGGACACATGTGATATAAGTCGAAGTACGCGTGCTCAGAAATTTGCGTACTCCAAGTCTCTGAGATAAAGATTGGAATGTCACATTTTGGATATATGATATTTAAAGTTAACCTTATACATAACAGATTGTGTTGCGTAGTATCAATTCAATATTATTTCCTGGGCAAATATGGAATATTGCATGTCACACAATATCAAGACGTTGTATTTGTTTAATTCTTGGGTTCGTTTTACCGGCAACTTAAGAGGCTTAACTTATCACTTTCATATGCTAATTATAGGTGCACCCAAGAAAGTTGGACCGCGGTGGCTCACAGTATCCAAAATGGCTTTGCCATTTGCATTTCTTCCGTCGGGACTGCACGGGAAAAAGTCGTCGAGACGAGACTCGGGGATCTCCGACGACGATGACGTAGAGTTGACGGAAGCATTTGAGAAGGGTTTGCGGGAAATCAATGAGAACTCGGAGACAAGGAATCTGAAATTGGAAGAACTACGTAATCTGCTTAAATCGAGACCCGATATACGGTTCCGATCGGATGACGCTTTCTTGTTGCGATTCTTGCGCAACAAGAAATTCGACGTAGAGCGCTCGTTCAACAAAATCGTCCGGTATTACGAAGTACGTCGCGACTATACGGATATATTTGGCACTTTTGAACCCATGCAACATAAGTACGTATTCGACGCAGAGATGGAAATGGTCTGCCCGGGGAGGGACAAGGAAGGGCGAAGAGTGGTCATCGCACGCAACTGTAAGTTTCAACAGCATACCTTAATGTAGCACAACTTGCTGCCTATTTTGCGAATTCAACGAGGCCTTCACCTTTGACTCACTCACTTTAGATAATAACAACTATTGTTGGGTTGTTTTTCACTGTGCATAATATGAGGGCGGGCTTCTCAATGTAAATATTCATTCTGGCTGCTATGTCACAACTCGGGGTCACATATAGGGTGAGCAATAAAATTTATAATTGCCATGCTATTTATGATGATTTATTAGTGTTGGCCCATGACTGTGATTTCATATTCTGAAATACCTTAGCACAGAAAAGCCAAAGAACGTGAACAATTTAACGACATAACATGCGTCGTGCACCACTGACTAGGCACGTACCTTACTCGCACACATAATGTGTTAGTGTTCGCACACGAAACATAAGTAAATATTGTCTTTGTAATCGAGAATTTGGGATAAAATAGATCAGAAAATCACACTTATATTCTAGCTTTAGTCTGAAGCACAATTGACTATAATATAGTCGTCATGTTTTCTGAGCTCGACAAGCCCACAAACTGTATTGGCTTTCTAGGGTCTAAGACACACACTGTATTTCACTATTCATCTTCGTTAAATAGTTTTTTGTTGTTGAGATTTTCCGCGGTAAATATCGGAGATAACGCTATATAGCTTATATAAAAAGTTCAGCTTTTCTTCGGTATTAGCCGCGAATAGACCATTTTCCGTTCACTGCGAGAATCACGCGTTATGCGTGAAATCGAACGTAAAAACAGGACAAACAAAGGTCATAGCGTCGTAGTGGCGTCAAACATCGCGTGAGATTCGACAAACGCGAAAGTATTTTGGGGAACATTTCCATGCTTAATAATGTGCTGTCCACATTTGATGATAGGCAATTTCGATTAAGTGGGGATATTCCTCTGTCGAAGATCGGCCGGTCGATGTGCGCTACGAAATAAAGATTTTCGAGTTCAAAATCAAATCGTTCGATTTTTGCGGCAGACGTTCGACGCGCGTCTTTCATGCATCTCGCGAGATCTCGCAGTTGTACGGAAAATCAACTATTACCTCTCTATTATATGCACAACTTCAACAGCAAGATAGTCATGAAACTGGTCACAGAGAGTGGATTAGAGAGAAAAGTAGAGAGACGGGACTTGTGGTGGTGGTTATAGGACCACAGTGTGCGTGCTACGTGGCGCGCACTCTTTATTTTCGTAAAATACGCGCA